CCAAAGAAGCACGACTGTAAATTGACAGACGTTAAGTTTTTTGTAACATTTCGTGTAGTCCTAGAAAATTGGCTTCGATGATTGTTCTCAGTTGGTCATTATGAACTTTCCTTAGAAGGCCATCACGTTCATGATCTTCAGGCTCTGGTCTTGTTTACGAAGAATTTGACCCTACTGCACTGTAGTTCGCTAGCTCTTCATGGGCCAGATGCGGTGCTTATGATGCTAGTTGTTGTGAAGGTTCAGCAATTTGCTGAGCTTATCACGCGAAAGTTTTTCTTGAACTTGGGTAATAAACGTTTATCTACATAGAAACTGATAATGTGGTGTAAAATAACATCAGCAAATCAACGATAACAATAAAGACATTTATAAACTATGTACAAGTCACAGGGACTATAACACAATAGACACATATCACATAAAGGTACTAAAAATTGCGCTACGATGAGCAGAAACCATTCGACGTAAACCTAGAATGTGCTCGCATTATGTGGTGATTAGGATGGGACTAACTCAGTTTACACGGATGATACCTGGGCCCCGACCTACCGACTAACGGCAGTGATAGGTAATCGATTTGTTTTCACATCTACCACAATTGAATAGAACACTGAAGTAACTAGAACAATCAATCACCCTGAGGAGAATGAGTCACCTTATGAACGAAGAAACTGACTGAAGAGGAAGAAGTACAATGAGCGCTCCTCAACAAGGATCAGTGAACGATGTAATGATGAAGAAAAGGCTATTATAAGGATTGCTTTAATTACTAAGTGAATGCAATTAAGTTACAATATAATGTAAGCTAAACCGGTAATCCAAGATGATGACGATGGTGACATGGTGAACGGAAGCGATGGAAATACCTCTCTCTCTGCCAGCGCACGAGAATACTTGAGAATGAAAAAAATGACGGCCCACTTGTGGCTGCCTGTGTCGAGGTGTTGATGTTGCGAGTGGTCTTCACTGCTTTACGACTCATTTTGAAAACAAGGACTGGAACCGCCATTCCTTCTGCACAAACCAACATTCATCCCATAGATTAAATTATATTTATGAGTTTATTTCGATATCAAACGGCAGAATTTAAGATTGCACAAACCGCCATTACTTTTGCACCAACAAATTACGTCTATCCAGATTTGTGAATATCATTGCCAGTGTTTTGAAAGTAGGCAGACAATATGGTTCCAATAATGCTGAGTGATATGCAAAGTATGTGGGCTTGTTCTAAGTTGAACACACACTCCACTCATTCATTCGGCCTGTGCAAACCACTAAAGCCACCGAAACCACCATCACCGCCACCGTTAAGGGTGAAGCTTCGCTTTAACTAGGGTCGATTGCACTGAATGCCGCTCAGCATTTTTGGATCTATAATTATACAATTATGACCTTGCTATAAAAGCGATAAAATAAAAACTTCTACAGATTATAATGTGACATTAATAAACTAATAACATTCAGGTTCTTTCTAGCCAAAAATGTTTCGATAATGCTTTATTTGAAGCGTTGCTGGAGCGGTGCAAAAGCTATTTTACTGGTAAATATGCTACCAATAGACAATCAGATGTTTAAATCAAATACTTAATCAGTTATTTAATGGTGGCACAAACCACGAGAATATAACCAACCCCAATTTTTCTTTTCCGATGTTAGTGAGGATGGTGTGTGTTGTTGTTATAATAAAAGTGCATTGTCACTTTGCCAGTTATGTGGATATTTCCAACGACAATAATATCACCATGAGAAATCCATATCCGATGCAGTACATTTCACTGTACAATGTCTGTGTATTCAAATCCCTAGACTGAAATTGTCAAACATCCATCCGTCCCCTTCAAATCCGACTTTAATTGAACCGCGATCTAGATGATCAATATTCTCTTATTTATGAGCTAGTACGAAGTTATCAAGGGTCCAGTGATTAAAATCTTGGGTAAGGTCTTTCGTAAAGGCACTCAATATTCATGCCGCCTCTTTCCTTCCATCTTTCACGTGATATATCTCTTTCTTGGATAATTTTTCTGTTGTACTGGTTCCAAAAATAAATTCAGTTTTTGGAGTGCATATAGAATATAGAAGACTAAACTAGTCTACAGTTTGGCTAGTTAGTTTTCTAGAACTTCCATTTGTAGCCCTGGAGAAAAGGGGAAGTGTGGCCGAATGACTAGTTATGCTTGGCATGGCTCGACGAGAGGTTGATTGCCTTCCCCCAACACTCTTCGGCAAGCAATGACGACGACCCAAGCCTGGCCACCTTCAAGACTGTAAAGAGGTGTGCTCAAACAGTATTAGGACATTCATGAGGAAGACAAATCTTCAACCAGTGCTAGAAGTACTGGGACCACACAGAAACACAAAATTGTGATACGAGTCAAATAAAGTGATATGTAGCACTATCAAGTACTTAGACTAATGACACTATTTGATATTGCTGGTAGAAGGGCGGATCGAGGGCCTTGATGGTGCAGCGGGTAACGCGTGAGCCTTCGAAAAGATAGCAGCGGTTCGAAGCCATCCAAGATCCCAGTCCTGCGTGTATCTCAGTATTTTCCTGATGTACTTTACACCGTACCATGTCTTGAAAAAAAAAAATATAGGCAGGAGGAAAAGAGTAAGGATCACTCGTTCATCGTCTTGATATTATATGACTTTGATGATTCCACCCGCGCGCTCAAAGTCCATTAAGCCTTCCATCCCTCAGGGTTCGGTGAATGGTTCAGACATGTCTGGGAGGATAATCAGCACTGACATCATACATCGCTAGCCGCCGCGAGTCATCATGAAGGCCAGATATGGATCCAGTCACATCGAACAATGTTTGATGGAGCCGAATGCATGACATATCTCTAAGGTATCGATCAACGACCGGGAAGGTTATCCTGTGCTCACATTTCTCATGGAAGCCACCACTTCTTGCATTCCATTCGTTCTCTCGATTCCACCACATACGAACTCTTCCAGTTGTCCGGTTTGTGTCCACTGATGCTACAGGATTGTTGCTTGTGGCCCTCATGGAGAGTTACAGCCCCATCAATTTTCAAAGTATTTTCTTAATTGAATTTATAACTAAGAAATTACGAGAGCACACTTAGGCTTAGCTTTAGACTTAGGCTTAGGCTTAGGCTTGGCTTTGAGTTTAGGTTTAGGCTTAGACTTGAAAAATGATGTGATCACAACTCTCCGCTAGTTTCTTGTGTTCTTCGTCAATATATGTCGTTGAATGATGGACGACTCTCCCGGAATCCGGAGATAATCGGGCTTGAGCCTATTCGCGTGAATTGGAGGTAGCGACATAGGCCTATGTAGACGTGGTTGTTTCATGATTCCCGGGGAGAAGGAGAAGCCTGATGGACGCTACGCAGGTTCGAACCAGTACTGGGATTGTGATAACCGTAACCACTACCACTAAGCTATCCATTCCTTTGTGTGACAATGCCATCTATCAGCCACACCCGACGATATACGAAATTTGATCTCTCACTCCCTTGAAATGAACGGATGGCATTACGGTAATGCTGTGAAATTACGTAATATGTGGCGCCATATTACGATAAATTACGGTCATATCGGTATACGGCGCTGGAACATTTTAGCTAGAGGGATTTTTTATTAAAATTATTTTAATAATTTGGATTTGGTGAGGGTAGCCGCATTCTCATGACCTACCACGTGGGAAATGTCCAGCGTACGATTCAGAAGTACTGGAAGTGTTTCTGTTCCATTCATTCGTCGCGCGGTCGATCACCCGGCCAAATGCACCGACACAGTGGCCCATTCAAGGAAATTATTTTGTTTTTTTCTAAATCGATTATTTCGGCGGGTTTTTTTTCACAGTCGAACTGCTAATAAAATCTTCTATAGGTTTTACAAATGTTTATTGTTTGTCTGAAGTCATTTCACCTCTCTTTCTCACTCGATGGATTGAATGGGATTGTCGAATTGTCCCCGTCTACTATCGTCTTTCCATTTTTATTTATTTTTATTCCTTTTTGTATTTTTCGTCTTTTTGCGACATTCTTCTCTTTTATATATGCCTAATAGAGCGCATGTGGCGCAGTGGTTGGAGGAGCTCTGCGTAGCACGCGAGGTCAGTGGTTGCGATCTCACGCTCATGGCTCATCAAGCCATCCATCCCTCCAGGGTCGGTAAACTGGTACCATACAGGTCTCAGACTGATTGGGAGGATAAGCAGCAGTGACTCGATAAAGCGGGAGGCCACCGAGAGTCATTGCAAAGGCCAGATATGACTTCATCACCTCAAACGAAGTTAAAAAGTGAAGACGATCATGGCGCATCCCTCAGGGATTGATCAACGCCGAGAGCTCTATCCTTTATCCTTTATATATACCTAAGAGAACTGAGTGATGAGCAAAGATACGACCTCAGGCGGGAGTCGAACCTGAGTTTTATCCATACCGGCGACGCGTGCTACTGCACCACTAGTTACATTTGCGCCATACTCATTCTTCAATATCTCTATGATGGCTATTAGCCACCAACCTTGATAGATTTGGTCTGGTATGCAACTTCGCTTCCAAAACCCAGATGAGCTGACAACCATTGTGATAAGTAATACGCGGGATTTCTAGTGTTTTAATTGCCTTTTGCGCAGTTACACCAGTCAACAGTCCTTTAGCACGCGTCCCCGGTGTGGATGAGACGCGGGTTCGACTCCCGTCTGAGGTCGTATCTTTGCTCACCATGCTAATCCTCTTAGGTATATATGAAGCCTCATAATACTGCGAAAAAAGCAAGGAAGCATTAGAAATTTTCCCTTTTTCTCGTATTTTCAGTTGTTTAGAATGTCTATGATTTGCTTCAGGTTTGGGTTTGCTGCTTATCTTTTCTCTTCATAGGAACGGATCGATTTCAGCGAACCGCGTCGCTGTGTTGTTCTCGTACGAAGGTGATTTATGATGATTTCAAATACTTTTTGTTCTACAGTACAAGGTAACGCCTATGTGCCGAGGATGTGGAGTGATTTGCCTGTGGAACTCGAGCGGGGTTTGATCCCGCGTCTCAACCTTTCTGAAGGTGGCGTGCTAACCGCTGCACTACAGGGTTCTGTTTTCCTTTAACCCTTCGGTATGCCTAGGAACCGCGGGCTAGAGTTGAACCCGCGTTTCACCCTTTGCGGCGGCGCTTGAACACCGCTGCACTACCAGGTTTCCACTTTCCTATAGGTCTTTCTGTGGTGCGAGGTACCGGAGCTGTGCAGATGAAATGGAGAACTCGTGTGGATTTGGACTAGGCTGGTGCAAAAATAGTGGCGGTTTATGCGTCGTTGGAATCGCCCGTCTGATAGCGGTCTATTTCTTCCAGTAAAAAAAGTTATTTCATACGTTACTTTATTACGCTTTCCTAGCGTTAAGTTTTGGTGTTAATGGCATATTTTTTACTTCTTTATTATTATTTATTCTGAACCGTCTTCACGGTTTTTTAACTGTGTGGATCCCAGTACTTCTAAGCATTCAGTTCGTTTTTTTGTCCTATCCTGAACGTCGTAGAATATTGGCTGAGCGAGTCATCTCACAATATCGAGGATAGCTTGGCTGTGGCGTTCTGCAAAGCGTTGTTTTTAAACCACCGGAGAGGTTTCTAGTGTCTAGATCGGCTCCACGCGCGCCCCGACGAGTATCACAACCACTCGGCCAACTCCCTCCTGCAAACTGCTGGCTACAAACTAACCGCTGAATTTTTACTAGGTTGGAGAAAAGTAATTGCGGTTTCAACTCGTTCTGAAGCAGTAATTTCTTTTGTAAATTGCTTCAGATGATGAGAATGATAGAATAGTCAACGTTAAGTTTCATCCTAATATCTCGTGTAGTTTTAACAGGATCAGTTTCGATGGTTGCTCTCAATCGGTTCTTTTTGACGTCGCTCATCTTCAAGGCTTTCATCTCCTTACGAAACCTCTTGACCACCACCGCAGTGTCTATTTGTGGGAAGTTCCTCGGCTATATGCGCTGTTGATGTGGCGAGTTGACTCTACTGGTTTGCGACCCCATACTGAACTCGAATAAGAAACTACTCAAAAGTTTGACTTCCTATAAACCTTGGCATAACTAGTTGTTCTATGAAAATCGAGAAAACTCAGAAAAGTATTAGTATGTAGTAGAGACTGTTACTACATACGGCCAAGCTCTGAAGAAGGCGGGTCGCCGAAACGTCACCCGAACTTCTATGACTAATTTACCGACCTCGCGTCAGCTAATCAAGATAAGTTTTCTCGACTTTCGAATAAGAAATTACATTTGTTTTTGTCTAGCATGATTTGCATTGTCTAAAATAAATACAAAATAAGCAACATGTAGTAGTTCATTAAGGATCGTGGTCGAGTGGTAGTGATGCTCGTCGCGGCGCAGCGCGGGGCTGATCCCCGACCTCCAACAGTGTGCAGTATAACGAACGCCACAGCCAGGTTACACTCGAGACTGCAAGGAAACGTGCCCAACCAGTATTCTACAACGTTCAAGAAGAAGACGAAAAAACGAATTGAATGCTAGAAGTACTCGGATCCGCACAGACGAAAAACCGTGAAGACGGCCTAGACCAACTAAATAAATAAAGTAAAAAATATGCTATTAACACCAGAATTTAACGCTAGGAATGCGCATCAAAATAAACATGGAATAACCTCATTTACTGGAAGATATAGACCGCTATCAGCGGGGCCGATTCTAACGACGCATAAACCGCCACTATTTTTGCACCAGCCTAGTCAAATCTTCGCGAATTCTTCATTACATCTGTACAGCTCCGACACCTCGCACCACAGAAAGAGCTATAGGAAGTGGAAACCTGGTACTGCAGCGGTGTTCAATCGCCGCCGCAAAGGGTGAAACGCGAGTTCAACTCTGGCCCTTGGTTCATAGGCATACCGAAAGGGTTATAGGAAAACAGAAGCCCTGGGGTGCAGCGGTTAGCACGCACCTTCGAAAAGGTTGAGACGCGGGATCAATCCGAGCTCAAGTTCTACAGGCCAAATCACTCCACATTCTGGCACATAAGCGTTAACTTGTAGTGTAGAACAAAAAGTATTGCAATCAGCATAAATCACCTTCGTACCGAGAACAACACAGCGAAGCGGTTCGTCGAGATTGATCCGTTCCTATGAAGAGAAAAAGACAAGCAGCAAACCCAAACCTGAAGCAAATCATAGGCATTCTAACCAACTGAAAATACAAAAAAAAAAGAAGAAATCTCTAATGCTTTCTTGCTGTTCCTCAGAATTATGATCGTTCATAAATTTTGTTATGAGAAATGAGTGGGTGAGCAAAAATACGACCTCACGCGGGAGTCGAACCCGCGTTCCATCCATACCGGGGACGCGTGCTAAAAGACTGCTGACGCAATGGTGTGGAGTGCTATGCAAAAACATTTGCGTCAGCCGGGATTCGCACCCAGATCTCACTCTTTCCGGGAGCGTATGCTGACCGTGGCACCACCGACGTTCATTGCAGTCCTGACTGACGCAAATGTTTTTGCACAGCGCTCCACATTATTGGGTATACTATAACATCATACCACCGCAAGTAGCGGTCAAACAAACGGATTTCGCACTGTTGACTGCCTGCTTTAACTGCGAAAAAGGCAGTTAAAACATTAGCAATCCCGGGTAATCCTATCACAATGGTTGCCAGCTCAACTGCATTTGTAAAGGGAAACGCATATCTGACCAAACCTGTTAAAGGTTGGTGACTGATAGCTAACATAGAGATGTTGAAGAATGAGTGGTGGCGCAAAAGTTTCTCGGTAGTGTAGTATTAGATCTCGCGTGCCCGCATAGGATGAGACGCGAGTTCGATTCCCGACTGAGGCCGTGTTTTTGTTCACCACTCAATTCTCTAAAGTATATGTAAAAGGGGAGAATGTCATAAATGTCGCAAAAGACAGAAAATTTGGAAAAGTAATAAAGATAATATGCCTGATAATCATTATTTGAGCCACGCATGTCAGTGGTCTGTTAATGAGGGCTGACTTATAGAGCCCGATACACGTGTTTCGATCTTGCGATCTCGTCAGTCGGGCAGTTACCCGTTCTCGTCTTTTGCTAATCTCTGTGGGTGCTCCAGTCCCCACAATTAGAGTTAGCGACGACGTATGTTTTACACTCTGTGTTCAGTGAAGAACTCACCAAACACAGAGTTTTTACACTCGAATGCTCGTGGCTAGTACATTTAATATAACATATCCTTCATTTCGAGTGTTTTCTTAAGACCACAGCTCAAATTACAATATGCCTGATAATCATTATTTGAGCCACGCATGTCAGTGGTCTGTTAATGAGGGCTGACTTATAGAGCCCGATACACGTGTTTCGATCTTGCGATCTCGTCAGTCGGGCAGTTACCCGTTCTCGTCTTTTGCTAATCTCTGTGGGTGCTCCAGTCCCCACAATTAGAGTTAGCGACGACGTATGTTTTACACTCTGTGTTCAGTGAAGAACTCACCAAACACAGAGTTTTTACACTCGAATGCTCGTGGCTAGTACATTTAATATAACATATCCTTCATTTCGAGTGTTTTCTTAAGACCACAGCTCAAATTACAATATGCCTGATAATCATTATTTGAGCCACGCATGTCAGTGGTCTGTTAATGAGGGCTGACTTATAGAGCCCGATACACGTGTTTCGATCTTGCGATCTCGTCAGTCGGGCAGTTACCCGTTCTCGTCTTTTGCTAATCTCTGTGGGTGCTCCAGTCCCCACAATTAGAGTTAGCGACGACGTATGTTTTACACTCTGTGTTCAGTGAAGAACTCACCAAACACAGAGTTTTTTACACTCGAATGCTCGTGGCTAGTACATTTAATATAACATATCCTTCATTTCGAGTGTTTTCTTAAGACCACAGCTCAAATTACAATATGCCTGATAATCATTATTTGAGCCACGCATGTCAGTGGTCTGTTAATGAGGGCTGACTTATAGAGCCCGATACACGTGTTTCGATCTTGCGATCTCGTCAGTCGGGCAGTTACCCGTTCTCGTCTTTTGCTAATCTCTGTGGGTGCTCCAGTCCCCACAATTAGAGTTAGCGACGACGTATGTTTTACACTCTGTGTTCAGTGAAGAACTCACCAAACACAGAGTTTTTTACACTCGAATGCTCGTGGCTAGTACATTTAATATAACATATCCTTCATTTCGAGTGTTTTCTTAAGACCACAGCTCAAATTACAATATGCCTGATAATCATTATTTGAGCCACGCATGTCAGTGGTCTGTTAATGAGGGCTGACTTATAGAGCCCGATACACGTGTTTCGATCTTGCGATCTCGTCAGTCGGGCAGTTACCCGTTCTCGTCTTTTGCTAATCTCTGTGGGTGCTCCAGTCCCCACAATTAGAGTTAGCGACGACGTATGTTTTACACTCTGTGTTCAGTGAAGAACTCACCAAACACAGAGTTTTTTACACTCGAATGCTCGTGGCTAGTACATTTAATATAACATATCCTTCATTTCGAGTGTTTTCTTAAGACCACAGCTCAAATTACAATATGCCTGATAATCATTATTTGAGCCACGCATGTCAGTGGTCTGTTAATGAGGGCTGACTTATAGAGCCCGATACACGTGTTTCGATCTTGCGATCTCGTCAGTCGGGCAGTTACCCGTTCTCGTCTTTTGCTAATCTCTGTGGGTGCTCCAGTCCCCACAATTAGAGTTAGCGACGACGTATGTTTTACACTCTGTGTTCAGTGAAGAACTCACCAAACACAGAGTTTTTACACTCGAATGCTCGTGGCTAGTACATTTAATATAACATATCCTTCATTTCGAGTGTTTTCTTAAGACCACAGCTCAAATTACAATATGCCTGATAATTTGCCTGATATTGTAATTTGAGCTGTGGTCTTAAGAAAACACTCGAAATGAAGGATATGTTATATTAAATGTACTAGCCACGAGCATTCGAGTGTAAAAAACTCTGTGTTTGGTGAGTTCTTCACTGAACACAGAGTGTAAAACATACGTCGTCGCTAACTCTAATTGTGGGGACTGGAGCACCCACAGAGATTAGCAAAAGACGAGAACGGGTAACTGCCCGACTGACG